AAAAAAAAAAAAACACCTCAGGGAGTGAAAGGCTGTTTTTCTCATATCTTTGCACCACAGATTACAGACATGGCATGAGCTGGTGCTTAGGGGGACTGTGATTGTGTCCATTCACTGCCATCACTGACAAAATCGGAGCTGAAGGAAATGTTTTATATCAAGAGGTTAGACTGATGCAGGCAGAGGGTTTTTCACAACAGCAGCAAAGTCTGAGATCGGAGTTTAAAAGGAACACTCCACAGAAAATCTATATGTTGACATAAAGGTCTGATGTTGGCTTGAAGGGTGGCTCTGAAAAGGTTGTGTAGCCGTTCCATGGAAAGTGTTTTTAAAAGCTTTTTTTTTTGACATCATGTCACCAACTGCTAGGATCCAGTTAATCAAATATTTAACTCCGAAAGGACTCGACTCACCCAGAGATCCCCAGCACAACAAATCTATTTTGTTCCTTCCAAACACTCAGATCATTAAATTGTATCTGTAATGACTGTGTGTGTGGTCCTGGTGTCAGTGACTATGTTTACATGAACACCAATATTCTGACTACTGACTTTATTCACATTTTTAAAAAATGCCTATCAGTGGTGTTCACATAAGGTGCTAATAGAATATTCCATTTACATGCTACAGAGCACAGTCTGATTATGACCCACCTTATAATTACAGCCACTACATCATATGTCTGCTGTTCCAACAACCTTTTTGACAATACCTCCTCGCCGCTCCTTGGATGGATGCGCCCATCAAGCCATTATCTATACCGCTTATCCCTTTGAGGGTCGTAGGGGGAGGTGAAGCCAATTCATTGCAGGACAAGAGTCTTCAATACCTGCAAAAAACCCATGCAAACACAGGAACATGCAAATTGCACACAGAGGACCCAATACATTTCCCTTAAAAAGCATAGGATAACTATGATTGCTCCCCTACCCCAGAAAATCCCCAGCAATCCTGTGCAGAGGACATGCATTGATGTTGCAAAATAATGTAAAAGCGGGATCTATACATGTGTACATAATGTGACTGAGGTCAGAATACTCAACATGTCATAATTGGATTAGTGACCATATTCAAGTTAATCTTATCAAAAAATGCTGTTTAAATGGTAGTCTCTAATTCAGACTTTTGGTTAACGTCCATATAAACGTTGTCACTGTGAGCTTTCTAACACCAGAGAAAATAAAATCAATGACTCTCTATATAAAAACACCGCTTTCTTCCTGTATAATCCTCATGCAGCCTGGTTGAAAACTATTTGTGTCCAGTGACTTTCTGCCATCAATCAGCCTGGTGTCTGGCTGCTGTCCTTTCAGCTCCCCAGGAGCTGCTGACAGACAAAGATGAGGACAAAGATGCTGAGCACTGGTCAGAGTCGGTGTAGATTAAAGAATCCAATGCCTCAGTTTAAATGTGGATTCCCAGCTATGCTACTCCTCCGGCAGCTGGAGTCAGACCAGCAAACTTTTCAGAGCCACCTTCTCAGCAAAACAAAGAACTCATTCAGTGATCATTTTTATTGCTGTCCATTGTGATATTTATTCATTTTACATTTTGAAAGGATCAGTTTTGGGAAACTGTATTTACTTATTTTATTTTCTATACCTCCAGTGTCCGTTCCTGTTAACTTTTGAATTTCAGCTCAAGGTTCACTCCCATGTGTGGTGTAGTACAGTGTGTGATGAATAGAGAGCATGCCCTTTTGACAGCTTCAGTAAATGTTTACTCTAAGATTAATTCATTCTTTTTTTCTCTTTCAAATTCTCAACTTTATGCTTTTTCCAAATCGTTCTAGTTAAAACTGAAGTGATACAGAAGGCATTTATGTCTTTTATACAAATTGAACATAAAAATGACCTTGGAAAAATTATTATCTCTGACTATGACTTATCTTAAGGACCTAGACCTATGAGCTATACTTTGAGGATTCAAACACACACATTAATGGCCCATGAAACCAAGTTTTGAATGTCTCAGCTTGTGTTGCTCCCAGCTATGCACTGCTGAATCAATAATCATGACCCTGTATGTTTCTCTCCATGTTTCTCTCCTCTCCCTCAGGAGAATATGTAGTGATGACAACATATTTCCATTTGAAAAGGAAAATTGGCTATTTTGTGATTCAGACCTACCTGCCGTGCATCATGACTGTCATACTGTCTCAGGTCTCCTTCTGGTTAAACAGAGAATCGGTTCCTGCTCGCACTGTGTTTGGTGAGTGCCATCTTGTGTCTTTAATCCAATTTTAAAAAAGCTCTACATGATTAATTGAACAAGTGAGATCAAATGTTGGAGGTTTAACAGAAAAATATGTGCAGAGCTGATGATTATTCAGCAAAATACAAAAGAATTTTCCCCTTGAAAAGTTGTAAATAACATAAAAACCAAGCTTGGTGTATTTAGGGCATTTTGCACATGGGTATGAATGGGTAATGTTTTTTTTTCCTAAGCTTCTATCACAGTATTGATTTGTTCCTACTTCTGTAACTACAAAAACGCTAATTAATCAGAGTGAAAAGTTGGAAAGTCTGGAATAGAAAAAATGCTGCAGGTGATCTACAAGGTGCTGCATCTGTCAAAGAGGATGTTCGGCTACTTTGTCAACTACAGAGCAGCCAGTCTGGTTTAAAGTGTTATTACTTACTGAGCTCAAGGTGATTTAGATCAAGCCAGGCACGTAACATAATCCCACTGAAGTTAAAGTGGACTAAGAAGGGTCAGATTGCATGTTTCCATTGGTGGAACAAACAAAACCCAATTCATTTTAATGGAAAATTTAAATCAAATCACCACTTATTTAAACAGTAGAAGACAACAAATCCTTTAACCAAATCCTACCTCTCTCAGGAGGATGTTGTATTTTGCAAATATTATGCCGAAGGGTTTAATTTTTAAAAAAATGTTAGCTGCACAAAATGCATTTGATTTTGTTTGACATTGCCCCCTTGCTGCATATGTGCCACTTCACTGTGTTATCCTCCCTTTGTACCATGAATAATAATAGATTGTGCTGCATAATCTATGAAAGAGCCCCTGACCTGTGTTTGTTGAATAATTTGCATTTTGATTTGGATATGAAGCAAATAAACATATGTACGCACACACACACTGTCAGAGTGACAGATGTTAAATAGGATGCAAAGCAAGGGATTGTTTAGGAAATAAAACTTAGTTACAAAAGCTTATTACCATGCAATAATAATGTTCCTTCAGTTCCCCGCAAACACACCCGCAAGAACATTTCTCCCAGAACCGTCATCACAAAAATCATTTCAGTCGCACAAGAAATTCTATTTGTAGAGAACAATTTCCTTCACACGAGGAGAGGAGCTGTAATCAGTGTCATTTTCTCAGTGGAATGATTGAAACATCTACTGTGAAGGACAAGGTTCCCTCAAGTGTTCAGGTCTCATATTTTCTCTTCTCACTATTGCAGCAATAAACTGAAATTAGGATCTTTCTGCTGAGTTCTCAGTGTTTCTGTGTTTATCAAAAACTAAACTCATTTATCAGTTCTGTTCCCTGGTTCATTTTAAGTTCTATTTTGAAGGGTTATCAGGTTTAAGAGCCTCATGCATTTGATTTACATCTGGATTTTATGGAATAATATCTTCACTGACATTACAATCACCCCATATCGTAATACCCAAAAGAAACAATAATAATAATAATATTTGTCCTTAAAGTGAATCGACTCACTGAAATAATTTGACCTCACTGTCCAGCAACACAAATATTAATTTTTAGAGCTAGTATACTGTGCGTCTATTTTCACTCAGATGAGAAAACTTAAAACTGATCAAATGCTTTCTTTTACATGGTTGGATGGGCGACCATTATCCAAGCCTTATTTGATTCCCAGGGATGTCGAATGTAAAGATGTGACATATGTCGAACTTTTAAAAGACTACATGTCAAAAGATGCGTTTCAAGATTAATTAAGAAGTAGATGGAGGTTTGTTTTCTCTATGATGTAATTCATAATCATGTAACTAACCATAATATATTATCCTGTACTAAATGTATGCATGTCTCTAGCATCTTTCCTTTTTGTATATAAGGTAAAATTACATCAGTTTTTCCATGGTTGTTAATGGAAATTATTTTTCACTGTATATATTTTGGGACTCTTGTGACTCCAGTAGACACAGCTCTACAAGGGCATCCATTGGTGTTCGGAAAAACATGTCAGACTGGTTTAAACAAAAGTAAAGTCAGGCGTACAATCCGGAACATTCACATTAATGGTTCATTGTATTGTGAAGCTACTTCCTGCTTGAACCTACAAGACTGACCCAGCAAACTCACACTGTTTATGCACCACTGAACTTTGTTAGTGTGGCTCCACTTTCTGATTTCTCACAGTCGATGATTGTGTAGAGTTGAAGCACTGCAATGCGGTGGACCATACTGTTTGGCTCAAAAACTTTACACTCTTTAAAGCCCAGTAGAGTAATTTACATGATTGAGCTAAAATGGATAATTTAAGCCCATCTTGACCTTCTGTTACATGGCCCGAGTGGGCACAGTTTAAAAGCTGCACACAAGGTTTCTAAAATAAAATAATAAAAAGTGAAACTGTTCAGATCCTTTTGGAAACTTTAACTGAAGCTGTGAGAGATTAACTTTCCTTTAAGTGTTTCCTCAACAAAAAATAACCTGTTTGCTAATGTTGTTATTTCATCCTCAGGGGTCACCACTGTGCTAACCATGACCACCCTGAGCATCAGTGCTAGAAACTCCCTCCCTAAGGTGGCCTATGCCACTGCCATGGACTGGTTCATGGCCGTGTGCTATGCCTTTGTCTTCTCTGCCTTGATTGAGTTTGCCACAGTCAACTACTTCACCAAGCGCAGCTGGGCATGGGATGGGAAAAAAGAGGGCATGGAAATAAGGGTGAGTGATTCTTAATTGATACGTTTTCATATTTGTTTCAAAATGTATGGACATAACATGTCATCAGTGTGCACTTGCATTAAAAATCACAAGCACATCATCCTCAAAAACAAAAAGCTTTTCAGGAAGGACTTTGTCTCCTCTTTGCTAATTTATTTTCCTGCTTATTAAATTCCAGAATAATTTTCTTCATCGTCTGCTTTGATAACCTAGAGAGTCCTCATTTTACACTGAAGGAGTGACGAGGGCAAATTGCACTTTGGGAACATTGATAGAAAATTCCTTCCTTAACACAGCCTGGAGTACTCTATAAAGACTATAAAGAGAGCTTTTATTTATTCATTAACAGCCAAATGGAACAGGGACAGTGGGGCGGAACAGTGAGAGCAAAAAAAACAGTAAACGTAAACTCCCAGAGATGCTGGCCCTGATTTATGATGGCAGCAAATGTTCAAGTCTCATCCTTAAGTCAGTGTAGGCTCATTCTCCCCAGAAAAAATGGCAGCCTTGCATCTAGTCTGCAAATTAGAGGCTTACAGATTAAAAACTGAATGTTTTAAAACCAATCACCTGAAGCTGACAGTTTTATTTGGAGCATGAAATCTGATCATGCACAGCTTACAGGTTTTTACTTTACCCATGGTCTGAGCTGGTTTCGCGTTGTTTATGAAGCTATAACATGGTGAGTGAATTTACATCAAGGTAGGAAAAGTAGAAGAATGGATCATGCACACATTAGCTTTTTGTGGTTTTATTTTGGAGGATGCACGGGTCTATGAAGTTGTGGTGAAGTCATAAATAAAAAGTGATCAGTGTCTCACGGTAGACACAGTTCTTAAATTTACCATGATTCCTTTGATGTTTTATGGCTGATCACATCTAGTGAAATAGATGAGAGGCATGAGAAGGTATCAGAGCACAAAGAACCCATGAACAAAAAATAAAGCACTTGGTCCAGAATGTATGAAATATCCATGTTTGTCCTGATTTATTGATTAGTTTTGCTGCACCATAAACTTCAAGGGTGCATATTTATTGTTCATATAGATTCAATAAATGACACAATTGGGTGATGACAGTCTACTCGGCTTTAACTGACATTGTTGAGGCGTTGAATATAAAACATTTACATTTACATCTGCTAAATCATATTGATTGTATGTTTTTTGAGACTACCTAGTAAATTTGCATGGTGCCGAGTGTAAACAGCTTAGAATAAAAAATGTGATTTACTGCACAATATCCAGAACTACATGTGGTTGATTTTCCAAATGCACATGTACATTACTGAAAGGAAGCTGGCAAACACCATGATGTATTGCATTAACTTCCATTGCTTTATATTAAATTATGCTTTTCTAATGAGTCGAAGTAAGGAGGCCAAAGAAGATTGGCAGAGGAAACTGTTGTTGCTGCTCGCACATAAAAATGCTGGAACACTTCTGTCACAGACGACACGTAAAGAAAATGACACAGCCACAAAGCCATTTTCTGCTATTTATGTACAAACTGTTTGACACAATCAGTGCAGCCTTTTTCAGTTTTTTTATACTATGACATTTGGTCCTCTGAGTGATAGGCAGAAATGTATATTGCTGCCATGGAACTTTTCAATTGGTGGGGATAATTCGCAGCGATACACTGCAGCAGAGTGGAGAGTTATTTTTTTTCTTCTTCCTTTTGATGCCTCCTCTTAATGGCAACAGCCTGAGCTGCCTTCTCAGGGGCTGTGCTGAGCATGCAGTTGTCATGATAGATAAAAAAGAATGGGGTCACAGAGGGAGACATGGCACTCCCATAACACTCCCCTGCTAGAATGAGCTACTGGAAAGCAATGGCATCACACTACACTTCCTTTTTTCATTTTTAATGTATTTAGAATAAAGAGGGGGAAAATCTATAGGAGGAGAAGCTATAAGAAAAGAGTGTTTTTAAGCTCAGTTTGAAAAATTCAAGCTCTTTATCTGAAGCAAGGCCACTACCCTTACCTCCATACCAGAATAAAAGACAGTGCCCCCCCAGGCTTTTTTATATCCAGGTTTAAAGACAGTTATAGTTAATGTGCACAACTTACTTTGCAGGTTCTGGGGGGTCTCAGCCATTTTTTTTTTTTTTTTTTTGCTTAACATTCTGTTTGACAAGTGATCTACCTAATTAGGTCTCCGTCACCAGCTAAAGGTGTGCTTATTACAGAAATTAGCCAGTGGGGAGTTTGGTGGAAATGAAAGCCTGCATATTCTTGGCTCTCCATGACACACGATTGGACACCACTGTGTTAAATTTATTCAACGCTGGTTTCATCAGCAGAGATGGGAGCACTGGCTCATTGTGCGGTGGGCCTCACTGCCAGAGCCAAGGAATCATCACAGTTTCACATTTACGCCTCATAATCTTGTGTTTCCAGACCTGCTGCATAGATGACTACAACTACAGATGTTTTAACAGAATGGGTTTGTTAGACAACGGTGGAGAAGCAGCCTGTTAGCATCATTCACATTTGGTAGAGCAGAGCATGACACTGTTATGCAGCTTGTTTGCTAGCATAGGTTTTCTCTTTTGGAGGTTGGTGTGCTCAGGTGGAAAAACAAATTTTAGCTGCCTTTCCTGGAGGCATCTTGTTACTAAACTTCTAAAATGAAACATTTTCTATGCCATAGTTTGAGCTGGTTGCACAAATATTTGCCAGAGTTTTCTCTATCCTTGTCATACAGCAAAATGAAGTGGTTATATCACACTAACCATGCTGAACTATGATTTTTATTAACACCATCGTCACCAGACAGGCTTTTATCAGTCCACCAGAGTCCTGCACGGGCAAACTTACACGGCAAAGCTCCATAAGCAAACCCGTTATCGGAAAAGTATCCGTGAGCTGTCAGTGGCGACTTGTCTAGCTTGTGGCTATCAAAAGCTAATATGTTTTGGCACTTTTTATAAGCAGCAAAGCCCCTGAGAACATATATGCTGGCCACTATTGTCTTAATTTGATGCATTTAGATGGAAGTGAGGGGGTGAAGGGTGGTGCCATAGGTTTATACAATAAAATGAATCCTTACGACAGGATAATACTGAAATGTAGGAAATACCTCACTATCATTTTAATGATAAGAAAAGAAACATGCATAATTCTATCCTGTTGACCACCTGTGTTTAATTCATTTTTATTGTGAATTTTAAAAAATATTATTTTTACCAGTTACACAACTTTTTTGCAGGTTACCAGACCTAGCATAGGACTTTATGTTGCAGCATAACAAGTTTAACTTTTGTTTGTCTGGTGAAAGGACGCTACATGTTTTAACTTTTTTTTTTTTAAATATAGACAGAGAAGAAACAAAAGGATAAAGACAAGATGGATTGGGAAGGGAAGCAGAAGAGTTTTATAGAAACTGTGTTTGCTTTGATTTGGGATTACAAAGCAGGTTACTTTAGCTGGTAAGTAACCTGTAACACAACCTGCAGGGATGACAAAGCTCAGGTCGCCTCTAAGTGTGATATTTATTGCAAGTACCACTAAAAGGCACAACAGGGACACAACAGGGACACTACATCTCCAGAAAAACCACGTCTGCACACCAATGCACCCACATGCTCACAGACTTCAGGCTATTAAATATGCCAACACCTCATCTCCAATCTTAAACCGGGACAGACTGTCACAAGGTTCAGTTCTATGCACACATGCGCACACTGAACTCCAAACAGCAGGACACAGCGAGGCACAATTACCCCCAGGGTACTTAATCACACTCGTAAGGAAATTCTGATGCATCAATTTGCAGAAGTTACAAAGACAAGGTCAATAGATGCATTGTATTCGGGGGTTATTTGTGCCTGCAGCTAGTCAAATGACTTTGAATAGTGTACAAGAGTCTTTGGCCGGAAGTAAATTATGTGCTTTGTCACATTAGGTTGATAAAAACATGCACACGGGCTGATGCCTTTTGTGTTTTCTCTAATAATTAGACCATATAAATTACTGGAGAGGACGTCAACAGAAAATTACTTGCTTAGCTCTTTTGTCAGCTTACTGGGCAAAGATCATCCTCAGTTCCAGGGACTCGTGACGCATATAGGGGTCTATGCTTAAAGTCATAAGACACATTACAGTAGTCATTGGCTTTTCCTGCTGATGTAAGGAGTCTCGTGGTGGTGTGAGACGTGGAGTCGATAACATGGGAAAGTATGTGGTTATCCATGGGGCATCAGTACGACTCTTTCTCACCCCATACTAATTGACTTGAGATAGAGCCCTTCAGGCTGCGGCTCGCCATTTCTCTGCTTAATGCAATCAGCCGCCTCTGAGCGTTTTTATCTCTCCCCAAGTCTCGCTGCTTTTGCACTGATCACATTGAACATGTTTCCACCTCAATTCTGCTGCCTCCATCAGACAGGTCTGAAATGTAACAATGACTTAATAAGCTCATTATTTTACCTACCCTTTCCACTGCTTATGACATTCGACATTAACAAGTGGTCTCCCTGTGCGATTTATGCACATTAGTTATGGTCGGCAATTTTCTTCAACGCCCGGGCCAAACTGGGTTGCGTGTGCAGGGCGTGCCGGCTGCTTCGCTGATCTGCTGCCACTCGTTGATACAGTATGTTGGGGGTGTGTCTGCTGCGTGAAGTTTCTGTTATAACTGCTGTATTTCCTTGAATAAAAGTAGGTTACGGTAGAGTGGTTTTACATTTAAAAGGTACAGGAATATTTATTAGTTAGTCACATATTGGAAAAATTGGCTAAGAACTGCGCACAGTACGTTAAGAAAATAGACGAGACTTCGATGCTAGAAGAACAGTGATGAACGCAAAGTACATGTGCCACTCTCCTGGCATGGCCCAGCAATAAAACATCATATCACAATCTTTGTAACACAATCATGATTCACAATCTGAATTACAATATTTCTTCCAAATTTTGAAATGTACTGCAGACACCGAGTATACTTCAAACCAGCCGACGGACTTACATGGATCTATTTGCACCATTTCAAAACAATATTGCATTAATGTCAGTATGGTCATGTGCATCAGTGTCTTGAAACCCACATTGTCCACACCTTTAAACAATGTGATGGCTCAGTCCCCTCTTACTGTTTTTATCACATTTTTACGACTGCTCTAATGCATCAGTCAGTGTTAACTCTGGGCCTCATGAGATGCAGATGAGATACCAGCCTGTGCGAAACACTCAGCGTGTTCCTCTGGATTGGTCCCTTTTGAGTAGGTTGGTGCGTTCGAGGTGACTGACCATCACATAACAAATTTTACAGAAAATGTTGCTTTTGAGAAATATCTGACTGCCATGCGACTAGCTTACGTTTAATCGTTTTTCAAATATGTCACAGATGAAAGACTTGGGGTATAATTTGTCCAGTAAACAAAGCCAGCCAGTCGTCAATCCTTCTATTGGTTTATGAATGTAGTGTGGATCTGTGTGATTTGGTGGGATACAGTTTGTACAGTGGTAATATCTGTTTGTTTCACTTCAAACATAGATCATGGACGTCAATCAAACACAATATAAAACAATCAGATATGCACCCTCAAACTGGTCTACTGCTCCTGCCTTGTTGCATGTAAAGCCATTTCCCTGCCCCCATTTGTGAGTGTGTGCGAATATTTACCATGAAGACCAAGCAAAACAGTTGCTGATAAGCCGTGTGCCCAAAGACAGGGAGGCATTTTGGAAGAGGGGAGGAGGGCACATTAGTTATGCTAATTAAAAAGACAGAGTGAAGGGAAAAGGAAGGAAAATTAAATGAGGTTGAAAAAGTAGAACAAAAATTGAAGCTCGGCTCAGAGCAAAAGCGAAACAGGGGAGCGGTGAAACTCTTGTTGCACGACACATTCGACTTCAGTTGTGCTGCAGATCTTAAAGTGGCCACTGTGCAGATGAACAGTGTGAAGAAAATTAGCCCAGTCTCACAGACGCACGTAGTGTCTGCCACACAGGAAACTCTGCCCGGTGATTAATCTCTGTGCCCTACTTGTTCTCTCACATTCACCGTGTGCACGGCCCTGTACGCTCTTAGGCTGACAGGATGCTCTGATGACGTAAGTTTAGCTATCTGAGCGGACCAATTTAGCAAATAAAGCTCAGTCTCCCTGTGTGATTTCAATATAAAAGACAGTAATGATTTCTCTGTAGTAGCAGGGAAGAAAGCCGTTGCTCCAGCCAGCTTTATCATCACACAGCCTTTGTCGTGTTTGTTTTGTCGCAAGCTGTTTGCCTGAAGAGGCCTGGCTGCTCTCATTGACACAGTCTGTCAGACATGTTTTCAGGCACTGTTATTTTGCTTTGTTTCTAATCCTGCTCTGTGCTGCTACTGCTAGCAGTATCAGATGCCAGTCCAGCCTGGTTCTGCAATGATACAAAATGCAATTGTCCCCATTTCCACACACTTGATTTAACCAAACTGATAATTTTGTCATGAAATTTTTAATCATGACCGTTTTTTTCTGCAATCCACATTTGTATGGTGCAGATTTGACAATTGACAATATTAATAGTGTAAGATGGTGTAAAGGAAAAAAGTAGTACTAGCTAGATAGTGATGAATAGAGTATGTAAGATTGGTAATTTTAATATAATTGGTAAACTTTTTTTCTTTTCTACTTTTCTTTTCAGGAACCGTTTCAGGCTAACATGGCCAGGATTAACGATATGGTTAGGCTTTTGTTTTGTTCTTGTGTGTGTCGTGTCTCGTGGTGTTGCTTCTATTTCCTCTTTATGAGTTCAAATGGAAGTATTGTTAAGTCTGGTGCTTCGCCCCTGACGACCTTTACTTTATTGCCTTCTTCCTTTTCAGAGAAGAGAATCAGCGACTTTGTCCAAAAAGGCAAACAACACCTTCAACATTGTTGGAACCACATACGCCATCAACGTAGCTAAAGACCAAGGTTTGACAACCATTTCCAAGAGTGCCACTGGAGCGTCGGCCAAACACCACTATCTGCATAAAATGGATGACCCCTACACGGAGGCCAAGAAGTCCTACAACCGTGTCAGCAAAGTGGACAAGATATCCCGCATAATTTTCCCAGTTCTGTTCTTCATCTTCAACTTAGGCTACTGGGCCACATATGTCAACAGAAAGCCTGCTCTCATAAAGGCAAACAACCAAAACTGAATTTGTCCAAATGCTAGGCCTGATCTGGTTAGGTTCAGAGTGTAGACAGGTTTGCAGGAGGCCAAGTCCATTACATCTTATTGTGTGTGCAAGTGTAAGTGTGTGTGTATGTGTGTGTGTGTGTGTGTATGAGTGCACGTATGTTTGGTGTGTCTGTCTTTTCTTAAGAGTTTGATATTTTGCACGTCTGTATAGATGGAAGGCAAATTTGACCATACAATAGATTCACATCTAGTAGTGGAAATTGGAGGGAGCACATCCTCACATCAGACTGTTTGTGTAGCTTTTCTTTTCTCCCCTCCACACTTAGCTCTGGCCCTGTTCCCTTTTGTGAGTAATCAAATTGTTCCTTTGCTGTATCTTGATTGCTTGCTGTTTTGTAGGACTAGTCAAATTGTGTTTTCACTATGTTTTGACATGTTTGCGCTTTGCTTGTAATAAGTTAGAGCAAGCATGCATTAAAGTTTGCATTGTAGCTCATTACCACTGATAAGGGTTTGACACATCCATCAAATTAACAACATGCATGCACGCACGCACACATACGCACAGTGATGCATCAGAATTTGTTGGTCGCTTTACTGTGCTCTGTTAGCCAGGGGCAGGCTGTATAGTTCCATAAGAACATCATTAATAATCTTCCGTGTCTGGCCTTCAGCTCGCGCTGAATCTCAACAGACCCAATGCAGTATCATCTGGAATTGCTTTTGCGTCCCATGGGACTGCCTGTATATTTTCTAGTCCAGTGGCTCTTATTGTTTTAACTGGCTGACTGTGTTCAATGACGGAGAAGCTATGTGCCTTGGTGAATACACACATCATAAAGAAAAAGGCTTTGACACACTCAAACTTGCATAAACAGCACACATATGCACAATAGGTCTATGTGTATATTACATGTAAACATATATACGGGTGTCCACAGGCTCTGTGCACTGTTGTACGTGTCTGTGCCCCGCCCACCCACGGCCCAGGGGTTTGGGCACAGAGTGTAAAATTGCTCATTAGTGTGGAAGGGTAACAGACCTCTGCCTGTGAACAGACAAAGCGAAGAGATTAAAAGGATCCAGCATAGTCCAGAACAATTATCATGTGCATTTATGTTTTGGCTCCCGGTGTGGCGTCTCAATGAGCCGAGCAGTCATAACAAACTACCACCATTACCTCAGACTGAAGTCGAATTCTGAATAGCAGATTATTAAACCTTTTCCATGGAAATGCAAATAACGCTAGATGTTTTATGCATTAAATCATTGCAGACACTTTCTTTCTGTAAGTATACTCTGGGCAGGTACCCTGCTGCCTTGATCTCTTTGTTATTTCTCTGCATCAGTCTCTGCAGCTGTTTAGCTCCATTATGATTTTCTGCATTTCTGCCTCATCATAAGGAAGAGTTTGATTCAAGTTGTACTTTTGCCCTTTTATACTTGATTGTGTAAAAGTATATTGGTGTGGATTTGGTTGTCTACAAACATTATATGCTGTTCTGGTTTTGTGTTTTGTAGTAGATAACAAAAGGCCAACATGTCAGTCATTCTGTATTCCTGAACACATTTTGGAGATATTCTATCACCACTGGAGACTATTACACTGCAAAATGCACTGAAATCAATGAAAAGAGAAAAAAAAATGTGTATCTCAAACAATGAAATGTTGAACTAAATTTAATGTTTGGGAACACACTGATGAGCAAACCAGTCCAACTGATTTTTTGTTCAACAAGATGGACTTTTTATTTGTCTCCAGATGTGGCAGCTGTCTCCAAATTTGTTTTCCATTTGTTGAGTGACATTTGTGTTTTTGTTTTGTGTTGAATTTGGTATGCGTCTATACAGATGTTATCTAATTATAAGGCAATTTCTGCTGCTGGATGCACTCTGGAATATTTTGCATTATCCCGATTAATGGACTCTTCGACGGCCACTGTACCTTAGACCAAGCTGCAGTGGATCTCCTCAGACTGTATCCTCAGTGGTGTGAGCTTAGGAGATGAATGAACTGTGTTGTGACCTCTCTGGAGATGTGTTAATACCAGAAACCATGTATCAATGTATCAGTCATTAGTTAATGCATGACAATCTGTACATGTGTGTGTCTGCAACCTCTGATAATGGCATCTGTCACACTGAAATAGGGCTTAGTATCTATGTTTCTGTAGTTCATCCCAGTTACTCATTAATTACCTACTCAACTTCTGCAGCTTCTCACTCGACAACTCCAAATATTTGTGCATATTGATGTAATGCTAATAATTTACAGATGGTTCTGAAAGTGTTGTTACCCTCGTCTGGTAGTGCACTGATTTTAGGTCAAATTCCACACACACACACACACACACACACACACACACACACACACAC